CCCGTTGGGGTCTTCCTTCTGGCACGGAGGATACTCCAGCTTGGCAGTGAAGGAGATGCATGAGCCGTTTAGAGCTGGACTGTCACTGGTCAGACGAACCTTGGGTTTAGCTGCAGAGAGGAGGATGTTTCAGGTTTAACAACTAAAAACATGATATAACCTGTTCGAGAGGAAGAATATATGACCCTTCTCACCTCCTCTGTGCATGAGCCCCTTTGGCTTTGGGTTCAGTGGTGGGTACAGGTAATCGTTCCATGGGCTGGTGTCAGGATCCCAGCCAGGGATCGGTGGAATTGGAAAGGGAAATTTTCCGGCTATATCATGTTTGTGGGGGAACATGTCACTGTAAGCTGGAGAGAGAGGGATCGAAGAACATTTTAAGATCTTAAAATGCTGGAAAACTGAAGCCGCATTCAGGGTCCCATATTGTAATATTTCCTTAAAATCATCTGAAAGAGTTTTCATTACATCTTGGCCTTGACTAAATTTCTCAGTTTGTAATGAAATGTTTTTATGATTACATGAAATATTTGAACTGTATCACATGACATGTGGTTTTAAAGAAAATAGGAATTTAATCAGTGAATCTGACACTCATCTGTTAACTGTTATACCAAATAAATTATTTATCACCTTGAAGAACTTTGTCTGATCCTGTCAAATGCGTTAATCTGTATATGAACTTGTTTTCAGCAGCTCCAAACCTTTGAGTCACTTTTAATTTAAACTCATTGAAAATGTGAGTGAAATGTCTTTACATCCGAGTGTCAGTCGAAAAACATTTGTGTAATTTGATTAAAGCAAAAAAAGGCCACAGCTCTGTGGAGGCAGACAATCAGCTCACGTGACAGAAACTCTACACTATGTTGTAAAACTTTTTTTAGTTTAAATTTTTTTGTTGCCAGATACTTGTTTCTTTTCTTTCCTTTGAATAAAATGGATATCAAAGTGTTTCCTTTCTATAAATATATATCCCATGTGACCTTGTAACTAGAGTTATACAAATAGCCAATGGACACGCCTTAATTAGGATCATGGGACTGTGACAGCTCAGGACAGGTAATAAACAACGTTTAAGGAAAATATCCAGCTCAAACGTCAGTTTTATTCTTTAAAAAAAACTAATGCAACAATAATAGTTTCATATTTAAGACTCAATCTTTGATGTAAATGCTAAAGTACAAATTCAAGCAAAGTCTGTATTTAATATTTCTGTATCAGACATCTGTTGACTTCATTTAGACTAAACCAGCACTTACTTCTGCGTCCATCAGCTTGGTAAACAAAGCAGGCACAAGCCAGAAGAAAAATAAATGGCAGGACTTCCATCTCCTCCTTTTAAAAAACAAAGTGTGGATAGTAAATCACCAAACCGCAGCCTGCATCCACCTTCCAGAAATATCAAGTAGCTGTGCGCCCACGGAGCTCGTTGTCCTGCAGTGTTGTCCTCCAGCTCTCCCAGTACAGCAGACTGTCCCCTGCCTGTCCTGATGGGCTCTAATTGAATCTGGGGCCGCTGAGCGCACAAACATGTGGTGTTTCTTAACAAGGCGCATCTCATCACTCATTAGTCTCCTGGACGCAGGAAACTCATGAGAGACGAGATGACACACATGCCCCTTTACCCTTTTACCCCATTACTCCACTCTGAAAAAAAACAAAAAACACAATGAACAAGGCTTTTAATCCGAAATATATTTTCATCCAATGATCCACATTTATTCAATACAACACAGACCGTGGTCACCTTCGGTCTTAGCCTGATTTCTTATTTTTCTAAATCCAAAACACGTGTTTCGTGTCTTCTATAAACTGTTATCGAATGCTGCAGTGTCTTTTTTCCTAAACACGCGTATTTAGTTCAAGAATCCGAAACCTAAAAAGATACTATTTAATCAAATATCCAGATAAATTTGAGTTTTGTTGGATAATAAAATTAGGCTCTAACCCCATGGACATCTCTTGTTGAACAGAAGAAATGAAAAGGATGAAAATAGTTGCGTGAATTCATATGAGGCTAAATTCAATGCTGATAAATAATTCTATTATAGAGGAAATAATTTGATTGTGATCGTTGAATCCGTGCTTGATCATGTTGAACGTCCACGTGTGTGACAGTTGACCACATCGTCCAGCTGTGTCACGGTGAGACCAGCAGCAGCAGTGGATGTGCGCAATGGGCAGGTTGCGCCATGGCGGCACTGCGGCAGCCGCAAAAGCGGAAGGAAAGTGAGCTCATGATGTCCATGAAAAATGCTTGTGTTCGTTTTCAACACAATCAAACATGTGATTGACGTCGTTATTTCAGCGCCTCGTCTGCTGTCACAAGGACAGTTTGGAAACTGCCACAAAGGCTCACAATAAATACAATAAAAAAAATGAACAAACCCCCTATAGCTTCAAACAAATATAAGAATATATTTAAAGATGGGAAAAAAATGACATTACAATAACTATCCACAACATTTGTGCTTTCTTTTTCCTCCCACAAATTGAATTCAAATAAAGACACATCTCTTATAAAATTGGCTGAAGGAAGAAAGACGTGTGAACGTGAAAAAGAACAACAGCCTCATATCTGGAGAAGAGTAAATTCAAATCCCCTGACTGCCACAGCCCATATGACTGCAATTCATCCACATTATAAGCTGTTAAAATCCAAGTGGTGACCATGATTATTGGAGCGCACCACGTGATTCAATTACATGATTACAGATGATAACTTACTGTACTATGATATATATAAATACATATAAATCTATGCCAATACTATGATAATTTCATACTTTGTAATGATCAGACAAAGACCTGAAGGTCAGTAATATTCAAGCGTGACTTACTAAATTGTCACGTGTTAATAACTTTATGACTTCAGAAGAAGAAGAAACATGGATGGAGGAAAGCAAAACGTCCCATTGTTGAGCTTGGCTGCTCTTCTCATCCCGTCTCCATGACAACAGAGAAAACTGCATCCGCCGACGATGAAGGTCGCGAAATGTGCACGAGATCTCCGCCGTAAAGAAAGTAGAGGATGTTTTTTTTTAACAGCACATAAACTTGAAATGAGACAGAAAAACATTCCTTCATTCACGTCAGTGCCGGTCATCGTCCAGTAGAGGGCAGCACCTCTCCGCAGGGGCATGCTGAAAGAGACGATTGATACTGTGTTACAGATCATTCATTTTGAATAATAGAATAATAACATCTATATCCTACAATCCTTCTGAACATAGATGCTATATTCACCAGCGCTGCAGCTAAAGATGAGCCTCATATCAATCCATCTGCTGATTATATCGATATTACCTTATTGATTTATCAATATCTAATGTGTGAGAAAATAAGGCAGAATGTCCATCAGAGTCTTTAAGAGCCAAAGAGGATTTTTCACATGAACAACAAAACCAACTTTATCATAAATATTTGCAGAGAAGATAGAAACGACTCGTTGCATTCTTGCTCAAAAGTTTATTGATTTATTGATTATCAAAATGGTTGCAGATTAACTCTGTCAATCGAGTTATGTTGTTTTTAATAATCTGTCTCTGTCTCTGTCTCTCTCTCTCTGTGGAGGAGGAGGGTGCGTGCGAGTACTTGTCGTGCCTTCTCATTACGCTCTGGCTGCAGTTGGATGGTGGAATGTAGGACTGGACCCTGGACCATCGTAGTGTGTGCGTGTGTGCGTGTGTGCGTGTGTGTGTGTGTCCATGTTCTCTTGGTGTTAACGTGTGTGTCTGGAAATGTGCTGGCAGCGAACCCTTGACTCCAGTGTGTGTGTGTGTGTGTGTGTGTG